ACTAATCCTGTTCTCTGTTCTAGTCACTCCTCCACACCTGCAGTGCTAGGTCCAGTACTGGGCTCCCCATTACATGGAAAGAGATGGACTTAGTGGACGGAGCCCTGAAAAGGAATAGTAATATCTCTCACATGAGAAGAAGCTAAAAGAACTGGGAATGTTTAATCTGGAATAGAAAAACCTCAATGGTTTCTCATCAATGCTTCTAAGTACCTGATGGGAAAGAGTAAAGAAAATGAAGCCAGACTCCTCTCAGTGAAGCCCAGTAACACAACAAGAGGCAATGGCCAAATTTGAAACATGGGAAACTTCATCTGAACAGTAGAAAACACCTTTTTTGTTACTGTGAGGGTGGTTAAATGCTAGAACAAGTTGCCATGAGGTGGTGAACAGTAGAAAACACCTTCTTTGTTACTGTGAGGGTGGTTAAATGCTAGCTAGAACAAGTTGCCGTGAGTTGGTGTTCAACCTCAGCATATACTCTGTGAGCTGTAACCTCTCCAGCGACTCCACACCACAAACACAGGCAATTTTACTGGCAACTACCCCAAATTCTTAAGACATGTTCTACCACCCTCTCAGCTTTTGACCCAGTAAACAAGACTGACCAGTCCTCTGTATTAAGTAAATTATCAAGTTGCACATATTATGCAGGAAGGCACTTGAGCTTGAGAGGTCTATAACAGATCCCAGCTGAGACAAAGATCAACGAGTCCACAGGTCAAAGTAAAGTTTGCTCACCATAACATTTTTAGCCTAAGTAGTTACAGTGATTTTCAAGCTCTTATTCACAAAGAAAATTTTAATCATGCCAGTTGTAAAACATGTCTCAGATGGCTGGGATTAGAGATTAAAATCCAAATTGTTTTTTTCACTCAGCTTGAAAACAAAACACTAAAAAGGTCACTGCCATGTGTGCTCCCCCAAAACAAAACAAGTTCATCCACAATTAATATCACACATGGGAAAGGCTACGCCCACAGATAGCAATGCAAGGAGTTTAATCTCACTCCACTAAAACAGGTTATGCAGAAAAGCCCTACCAAAACTAATCTGAGCATTCAGGCCTCTTATCCAGCTGGCTGTATGCAGTCCCTGTTTATACTCATACCCTTTTCAAAAAAAACAAAAACTTGTGCAGTAACTGACCTGATCTTCATGGGGGCTTTACCTACTGTACTAAATTACTATAAAACTAGATTCACAAACAAACTTTGAATAAATCAAATTAAAATTTGTACCTTTTTCCTGGAGATCAACTAAAACCCTGAGACAGAAACTGCCTTAATAAGAAAATGTTGAGGAAAGAATATATCCAATGACATTACCGTTCAACTTCAGTCCCAAAAAGAGTATGCCTTTTTTCCACACAGGATTCACAGTCTTGGTGTTTCTTATGGAGCTAGACACCTTAGTCCTTCCTCTCATTTCAGACTAGAGGAGGAGTTGCCCTTCCCATCTTATAAGGGCACCATGCTAATACCCAGGCATGCTCTTTTAGCTAACAGCCAAATGCACACAATGCTGATTATGATATAGGACTTCAAGGCTCAAATCTGCACCTTCTCCTAAGCAGGCCATTTGATGGTAAAGCTCAAGCTTACTGGAAGAGCATTCTTGCCATCCTGCCCTGTTCAGGTGTTTTAGAGAGAATTTTGTCAGAAAAAGAAACACGCCACTAGGAACTCTGCTTTATCAAGAGCACAGGTTCCAGTGAATGCTCCAATTACTCCCTCATACATCTTTTGCAACAGTCATAGTAAAACTCTAGTGTCAACACCTAAAATGGCTTAAATAAGTACTCTGAACATAAGGCTAAAGAGATGAGTTCTCTTTGCCCTTACTCTTTTTGGTCACAGGTCAATGAATGCTTCATTCGGTGCTGTCCAGGGGCCTAAGTCACACAGCTGGGATAAAAATGCTCTCATCTGCAAAATTTCAGACCAAGCTAAAGCCCACTACTGAATGCATTCCAGTAAGACAGAAGAGATATGTTGGAGCCCATTCATTTAAAGATTAAACATAATTCTCTACTGTGGATGAGCATGTAATCAATAAGTTTTATATAAAAGAAGAATCCACTGTGACCCCTCCTGATTACAATTTTTTGTTTGATTGCTTAGGATGAAAGACCTTTGGGCTAGCATGCTCTCTGTGAAAGATCATGGCCTGGAAATATGCCCTAGATATAAAACACACACATTTCATTGGGTCTAAGACCCACGTGGTACATAACTCTCATAATAATGTCATGTATCCTTTGGTATAACCTCTACATGGAACTTCCCAACATCACCAGAACTGGAACACCCCCCTAGCCATGGAGATTTTATAGGAATAAGCAGGCATCCATGCCCCTTCATCAAGTATTCTGAAGATGAAAGATTTTTGATTTAGGCAAACAATTCTTCTTCTAGCCTACATCAATAGTCTACATGGAAAAAAAATATTATTTGACCTATGCTTCAGTTAAAATAATTTCTACTGTCAATGTACATTTAAAATAGGCTTAGAATTGCTTCCCAAGTGCAAATTAACAAATAGGTTTTTTTAGAAAGAATACCTCTCTTGAAACTTTTAAGAATAAGGATAGTAAAGAAAAATAGGTGAAACATCTCCCGGGGACGGGGGGGTGGGAATGAGTTAAAATCCCTTATGAACATTTATAAGATTAGCCGCCATTCAAACAAGAGACAGACTTCTTATTCATACTACCTGATTCTCTTTAAAAAGTCGTTAGTAACGTGATTTTAGTACCATAAACTATGTGAAATTAAGTCTCTGTGAAGTTTTGGGGACATCACCTCTTGCAAAGCATGTCCAGCTGCTGTCACCCTAACCCCCACCACTGAGGCCGTATCTAAAGCAGGGCTGAGAAATGAGTGGGTCAGTCTTTCAATTCTTGCCTAACTGGGAGACACTAGAGTTCCTTCCTGCTCTGATTGGGAAGAGCTAGTGTTTAGTTTGCTTCAAAGGCTGAATCAGATTACAAGATAAGTGGACATCTGAAATGAAAAGAACTCCAGAAATTGCTACCAGTTGAGATGAAAAGGGGAGGGGAATGGCTAGAAGGAGGGAGAAGAGAAAGGAATGGAACATCATACCCTTTAGCCCACATGGAATAATCTGGCCCAAACCTGCACATCCTACAGGCCACACTGCTTTATCAGTCTCCTATGAGAACACTGGATGCTTGATGTACTTTAAAACTCTCCTCCTTTTCCTCATTATAAGACAATGGAGAGCTTAACTTTTATAAACGAGAGCACTTTATCTTCCAAACATTACAGTCGTTTCATGTCTAACAGGAGTTTAATCCGTAGTAATTAAGATAAATTACCACATGCTTTAGGAGGTTGGGGTTAAAACTCTGAGATTTTCAATTGATTACAAAAAACAGCCAGTTATCAAGTCCAAACTGAGTAATTCTCTACTTATTTTACTCTAGCTAATTAAAACGTAATCACGATTGTTTGCAGTGCGCATTCAGTCAGCAGTTTTACGTTGAAAAAGAAATCTTGCCAAGAAAACACACAAAAAAAGAAAGAAAAAAAAAAGCCTTTCACTATGAATCGGCTTGATCTAAACTGCCTCTTTAGCCACTGAAACTGTAAAACAAGTAAGTTACAACCGCTTGACAACGCAATAAAAAACACTAACCGCTCTCCGGGACAATGAACTATATTAATGGGTATCCTCCTTTCAGGCCATCCCGCGATGCACGGAGCACGCTGACAGCCGCCCCCGGCCGAGCCCCGCCGAGCAGCGGGCAGGACAGGGCAGGGCGGCCCCTTCTCCGGCCGTCTCGGCTCGCAAACCCAGTCTCTTCAACCCAAACCTGGTTGCAGGCACCCAACCAACTTGCTGCTGCCCTTACAACGCACACACTCAGCTCTCAGTTAATACTCCCCCACGCCTTTTTTTTTTTTTTTCTTTTTAAATCAGTTTATCCTTAAATACCTCTGAGACCTGCCTCTGGTGCCAACACCTTTGCACCGAACGCAACTCCACCCAAAGCACTTGTCCGGGCGCTCCCGGTTTCTCACCGCCCGGCAAGCCGGGGGTGAGCGAGCGGCGTGTCCCCGGCGTGCCACCCCGAAGGGCCGAGGTGGCTCCCTTCACACCGAGCTGGCCAGCCCTTCCCCAAAGGGGCTGCGGCGCTGGGGAGGGAGAACGGCTTGCAGCTCGGAAGGGTTTCCGTCATTTGCATGAATTCGAGTAGGTTTAATATTTGCGCAGTGAAGAACAGGTGGGGAAAGGGATAGGTACGTGTGCAACTAGAAGAGGGGAAAGGACCGGGAGACAGACACCCGCTGCTCTTGCACTAGCTCCGCGCTGCTTCCAGCGGGTCTCCCGCCACTTCAATTCCATTTCTTCCCACTTCATCCCTATTTGTCCCGTTAGCCAGAGATGTGCCTCTCTGTCCCAGAAAAAAAAAAAAAAATAGCGTTACCCCCACCCTCACCTTCCAGGAGGTCAGAGCTAAGTACGACACGTTCATGATTATCGCTCTTAAAAAATAGGCTCAAACTTTCCCACGGGGCTGGGGAAGCGAACCACCTGCGGCGGCCTGGCGCGCAGGCAGGCAGGCGGAGCCCCGCGGGATCACCGCCGCACCGCCCGTCGCTCGGCAGGACGAGCGCACCGCCGGCCCGGGAGCGCCGTGTGCGCCCGCCCCGCCGCCGCGGACACCACCGGAGGCAGCGGCCGGGAGCGCCGGGCACCTGCGAGGAGCCAGGGCAGAGCGTGCCAGGAGCCCCACGACCCGCCAGGCGGGGAGCCCGGCCGGCACCCACAGGCATCGACGGGGCTCGGCGCTGCCGCGGGGCCGTGCCCACCTGTCCGGCGCCTCCAGGTGCCGGCCATCCCCTGGGGGTGCGGGCCCCCACGTTCGCCAAGCCCCAGCCCGGCCGTCCTTTTCGCCCCCACCCCGCGCCCCGGGGGACACTCGCTCTCCGGACGGTGGCAGAGAGGCTCCCTGCGCTGTGCCATGCCCCTACCTGGAAATGCTTGAAGAAGGCGGAGATGCGGGTGATCTGGAGGCTCAGGCACCTGGAGGTGCATCTGGCGGTGGCGAAAGCCTCGTCCTGCCTTCGGGCGGCGGCGGCCCCCGGCCCGTCGGGGCTGCCGCAGGCGGCCGTCACCCAGAGGAGCAGGGCGAGGGACACGCCGGGCGCCCTCCGCACCATCGCTCTGCTGGAGAGGAGGGCAGAGGGGCGGCCGGGCGGCGCGGGGGGCTGCAGGCACCGGAGTGAGCTGGCTCCCGCTCGCTGGGCTGGTGCCGGGCTGCGCCGGGGACGGACACCTCCGCGCCGCAGAAACTACACAAGAAAGTTCAATCATTCAACTCCCCTCACCCTCGTCCTCCCCCCGCCCGCCCCGGCCCACCGCGGGGGGCTGCAGGCACCGGAGTGAGCTGGCTCCCGCTCGCTGGGCTGGTGCCGGGCTGCGCCGGGGACGGACACCTCCGCGCCGCAGAAACTACACAAGAAAGTTCAATCATTCAACTCCCCTCACCCTCGTCCTCCCCCCGCCCGCCCCGGCCCACCGCCCGCCCCCCCCCGCCGCGGGGGGGCCGGCTCTG